CGTACCTTAGCCCAGCAGGAAGCGGTTTGAGATCCACTTTTGGAGCTTTCATCTCACTCCAATCATCGCAGTCATTTGTTGTTGGGTCTGCTGCAACGTTCTCTCCCTTATTTATCTCAAGCTCTGAAATTTCCACCTCTTTACTCATTGGTGGCGCAAAATCCAGCAAATTAGCAAACCCAGTAGTTGCTTCACCAAGATACCCAAACTGATCCTCTTCCTTAACCATGGCAATCTGAAGAGGATCATCCATACTCAACTCCTCAATAAGCTCATCAGCTAGCTCATCTATTATATCAACCCAGAATGTTTGCCCTTCAATGGTGGGTTTAGACATGACTCTCTCCATGTTAAACTCTTGGACAAAATCACCAATATGAAGTTTAATCTTGCTCTTCCTTACATCTATCAAGGCTCCAGCAGTGTTTAGGAATGGTATACCAAGAATGAGTGGGTCTCTTGGCTCCTCATCAAGCTCAATGATGACAAAATCAGTTGGAATATAGAAATTTCCAACCCGTACATGCACATCCTCAGCCACTCCAACAGGAAAACGCACAGAGCGATAAGCAAGTATCAAAGACATCTTGGTTGGGGTGAAATTAGTGAGCCCCAATCTTTTTGAAACCGAGAATGGCATCAAACTCACTCCTGCTCCCAAGTCACAGAGACATCGATTAAAGGTGTGCTCTCCAATCGTACCAGGCAACACAAAACTGCCAGGATCTTCCATCTTCTTAGGCACAATATTCTGGAGAATAGCAATACATTCATGACTAATCAAAACAGCCCCTTCTTCAAGAGTCTTCTTGTTAGTCAAAATGTCTTTTAAATGTTTCCTATAGGTAGGAACATTCATAACCAGCTCAAGAAATGGAAGCTTAACTTGAAGCTCCTTCATAATCTCGTCAAACCGAGCATATTCTTTTTCTCTCTTAATCTTTCTCAAGCGACCTGGGAAAGGCAGCTTAGGCACATAAGGAGGTGTTGCAGCTTTTTCAGTCTCTCCTTTCTCCGGAACTTCCTCCTCTGCTTCTACTTCTTCAACCAGTGGTTTAGCAACAGATTTCTCTCCAGCAATATCCTTTCTTGAGTCATCGGAGATGGCTATCGCCTTCTCCTTTTCCAGAATTGGATTGAGCTGTTTACCACTCCTTAGTGAGATGGCTTGGACATACTCCTTACTACCGTTGTAGTCCTTCGGGTTCGTTACTGGTTTACCAGGAAGAACTCCCATTGGCCTTGCAGAAGCAGATGCTGTCTGGGCTACTTGATTCTCAAGCGTCTTAACATGTGAAGCTAGTCACTCAAATTTTCCGTGAAGATCATTGTACATGCTATCGACCTTGACATTGATATCAGCTGCATTCTTTTTCTGCCCCTCAAGAATCTGTTGCATCATCTGTTTCATCTCATTATCTCCTGAAGAGGTGTTT